TATATATGACAGAATTTGTTACACCTTTGAAAACGATAGCATTTCAGCCTATAACTTCTATATTTCATTCTAATTTGATTTGTTGCCTACCCATTGTGGATGTTATTTCACCGTCACCGGGTTCAGTGTTGTGCCGAATTCTGACTCTTCAGCAGGTTCTTCCTCCCGTCCCATGCACACGCTTCACGCGCTCTTCTGGAGTCTCACGTATTTGAGGCCGAGAAGCTCTTCAGGTCACGGCCATTTATAATCAATCTTTTTCACAATGCTAACCAAGACAGCATTAAGTGATCAAGAACGTGTTGTTAAAGTATCAAGTAACAAGCATGAATTAATTCAGATGAAGCCTAACAGAAGCGAGAAGTGAAACAGAAATTGAGCAGAGGCTTTGACAATGACATATTCACACATCTCTTATTACTTTTTACACTTCTCTTTTTACTTTCAGTCTCAAAGAGTTTTACATTTACATCGAACTGGGCCTCATAGGGGTTGCAAATGGGCTGATATATGGGGCCCACCTGGGCTACCCAACTGGGACCCAGCTAATTTTGTCCTCAGTTTCCATGGTGGCCCCACATGGGTTAGCACAGATGGGCTGATGATGGGCCCTTGATGGGCTCCATATAGGGCCCATATGGGTTAACCAGGTAGCTCCCATTTGGTGCCTACATGAGTCTGCCTACATGTGTTAGTGATGGGACCCAGCTGAATGGGAAAGTTATCAATGGGTCTGTCCTGTAACTAATGATGAACGCGCAGTTTGCAGAGAAGCATTTCAGTTGCTCACGGTGGACTGTCTGACTTAAAGGGATAGTCCACCTAAAAATGACAATTTTGTCATCGTTTACACACCCACAAGACGTTCCAAACCTTAATAATTTCTTTCTTCTGTTGAGCATAAAAGAAGATACTTTGAAGAATGTGGTGATTTTTTTATTTTATTTTTTTAATTTACTGAGGACCAGCAGCTGTTTAGTTACCCACATTCTTCATATTATCTTCTTTTGTGTTCAACAGAAGAAAGAACTTTATGCAGGTTTAGAACAACCTGGGTAAATTATGACAGAATTTTCATATTTTTAAAGTGACAGACACATCTGTGCTTCAAGGTACAGGCGCAGGCCTATTGTTTTATTCAAATTTGGATAGTCTGTATAATATTCCATACATTATCAGAGCTTGGTAGACATAATTATTATATGTTTAGACATTATTAGACAGATGAATTAATAGTTTATAATTAATGTTAGACCCTATTTATTAATGTATAATTTATATTAATCATAAATATATAATCAAAAATGTCATATAAAATTTGGTAATTTAAAAAGTTAAAAAATGCTAAATTATTTAGATAAAAATGGGACAAATAAATGTAGCCCTAATTTAAGCAAATTAAATAAATAAATAAATAAATAAATAATAACAATTATTCCCATCCAGGTAACTGGACAGAACTGTCAAAAAAGACTAATAATTAATAATTATAAATAATCTAATTTAAAATAACAATATTAATATGTTCTATTGGAAGTTAAAAATTTTTAGCGAAACTGCTTATACGTTACCTGAATAAATTCGTATCACTGCTATAGTGCCGTCATCCTGCCATCAGAGGTCACTCGTATCAGAATCAGAATCAGAATGAGCTTTATTGCCAGGTATGTTTACACTGCAAGGAATTTGTTTCAGTTACAGAAGCTCCACAGTGCAACAGAATGACTGTGACAGAACAAAAACACAGATAATAATAAAAAAACAAAATAGAGCAAGTAAATAAGGAATAACAATATACAAATTGACAATTGTATGTACAGGTATATTACAATAGACAGTTTTATATGTACAGGTATATTAGTGCTAATTTGAAATGTAGACTAAGTATGTGTGTTAGATAAATAAGTGTGTGAGTGTATAAATAGTGGTGTGTGATCCACAGTTATTGTCAAGTGTTCATGAGATGGATTGCCTGAGGGAAGAAACTGACAACATAACATATGATAACATAACATGACAACATATAGTGAACAACATAAAAACATTATTTACATCATTGGCAAAAATACGTTTTCATTATAATAAAGTGTTCCTTAATAGAACATATGTCAAAAAATGAAACATCTGAATAACTGAGTGTTCATGGTCTAATCTACAGAGCACTGATGAACAAAACAGTCAACATATATGTGAATTAATTTTCCCCGTAGTGAATTTTTGTCAGTATTTCAATATTAAATCCTTAATCGTTCAAATTTGCTAGTTTTGACTAGCAACGCTATCATGTGCCTCATCTCCAGCCAACAGCTTCCTGATGGTTTGTTAATATTCAAAATATTATTATTAGCATACTGAGCAGAAATGTAAATTCAAAACGTACTAGTAACTATTAAGTTCAGGATGTCCTTGGTCTGAAAAGTGACTAGTAACTAAAAATTAAGTAGTTCTAGTTTTTCTTAACAAGTAAAGTATAATTAAATGCTAGTCGCTACTGGAATAAGTACTAGTATCTAATAAATAAGAACTAGTATCTAATGAAAAAGTATCTTAAAGATGTACTAGTACCTAAAGAACACGCACTAGCATCTAAAGAATAAACACTAGTTGTTAATGAATATGTACTAGTACCTCATCAAATATTTACTAGTGTCTAAAAAAATAAGTACTAGTAGCATGAAAATAGCTAGTACATTTTAAACATTAAAAGATCAAATGGCTTGCCATAGAATAAGTACACTAAGTATTAGATCATTATACTGGGTTTAATCATATTACAATAGTGTTTGGTCTGAGGGAACAGAAAATGGTAAGAGTCTGTACCTTTATTGATCTATTTTTTTTTATAGTTATGGTATCATATTTTATTTTAACTGCAAACATATTAAATTAATTTGCTGTGAATTTTGTTGGCAACACTGCTTATACATATGTACAATTTTAAACTTTGATGTGCACATCATTTGTCCCAAATCCTGCTATAACTAAACAATATTTAATTTATCATTTAAGCATTTATGTACAAACACATGCAAGAGGACAGACAACACAAAGCAGTTGGCTTATTCATTATTACTGCACTTTATTATTGATATTTTTAAAATTGCATTCGTTTATAACATTGCCTGAGGTGAGAAATCATAAAAAATTATAAATAAACAATGATATAATAAGTGAATGTACAAAAAAATTCACAGGTAAAACCGTTTGAGGAAGATTTATGCAAAGCAGCGCAGTTTTTAATAATCAAACAGGGCGAAAATCATTCAAATAACGTTATAAACAAAGAGATAAATCAATAAAGTGCATTCTGTAACATTGCTTGTACTCGTTGCGTGAGTAACGGTGTCTAATCTAAACACACTGACATGATCTATCCTACATACACTTCACAGCACAAATCAATCTGAAAACATAATAAAGGCATATACACCCTACTCAAATATTATTAAACTTATAAAAGATGACATTATCCTCACAAAATGTACTGTGGTGTTACCATGGTACAATGATGGTACCTGATATATACCATGGATCATAGATACACCACTGAATCATTAACATATCCATGTATATTCAGGGCAATACCATCATGTATGTCCAAAAAAATGGTATTATTGTGGTACTACGTCTAGAAGAAAATACCAAAGAACATATTCAGGTTAATATATTTGGGTGAAGTGTAAAGTCCTCTATTGGCAATCAAGGATCAAGGATCGGATGATTTGGGAGAAAATCATTGCATTATCATGGCACCTATCATGGCACCAACACTCCTAAGACATTGCTAGATTCACTACACACAGAGTCTCCAAAGGACGTTCACACAAACGTGAGAGTGACCGTGTGATTTAAAGTGTAAACAGATTGGATCAGGTCCTCATGTAACATGAAGCCACTTCTAAAACATCGTTTCATCTCTCGCAGACCACTAGACGTTCACATGTCAACCTACTACGTCATAACTTCCTATAAAAGTTGGACACAATGTAGCACAAGTGAATTAAAAGCCCTGAATGGAGTCAAATGAAACATATCTACACATGTACCACCTCACACTTCACAAACTCTTCTACATATACTAAAGAATAATTCAGGCTTCATCAGATTTGTAAGAATTCAAGTGTATAATCCACAGTGCATTTACTGGCCTATAATATATATATTCTAACAGGATGACATCATAGTGACCTATTTTCTTCATAGAGTTCATCTAATAATCTCAATATCATTTCTTAACAATGTCATCCTTGAGGTTTTCCCTTCAGTCTCAGAGTGGCAAATTAAAACTATATAGACTCTCCTTACTCCTTTCTAAAGACATTTAAATTCATCCACATAACAGTCAACATGAAACGACATCTGCAACCCAATTTACTTCCATAACAGTCATGCTTCTTTTCCAAATCTGCTTATGCATTAAATTACTCTATTAACTAGTCAGCAAAAAGGCTGTATTTCCTACTAAGTAGCTATTTGACTACAGTCTTAGTCGGGTGGATCAAATATTACATTTTATGCAGATTAAACAACATTGCAATCCATTAAGAAAGTAAACATGGTGAATTCTGATTTCATGTTGACTTTTGCTGGGCATTTCCAGTGCAAATGTAATTAAGACAACAGAAACAAGCACTTATACATATGGTTCTGTCCTTGTGCAACAATCAATTCCCTTTTCCACCAGTTAAACCCTCCCAAACCTCTAGTTAGGCATTCTGTTGCCTCTAGTATAGCGCTACTGTTGGCAGTTTAACAGTATTGCTGAGGTACTGGACTGAGATCGTTTAGATCTATGGTGTCGGTCACTAATGGCGCTTTTCCACTGCGTGGTACGACTCGGCTCGGTGTTTGTGTCACAAGTTCAGTGACGCAGGTAGTGACGATTCTCTCCGGCCAATCTGTGATCGGCAGAGTTTACACGTCACGTTTTGGTAACGGTACGGTTCACTTGGAACCTCAACCGAGGCGGTACTAAAAAAAGTACCAGGTACCAGGTACTGTACCCAGTGGAAAACCCCCGAAAAGTGAACCGTACCGAGCCGTACCGTGCCGTACCATGCAGTGGAAAAGCGCCATAAGTAAACACTTTAACAACCTCGCGTTTCTAAATCTGCCAAACTGATTGGTTGATATGGTGGTGAATGACAGGTCATGCCCTCTACAGACCGGGCAGGAATGATTGGATGTGCAGTGTTCACTAGCATTAGGTCTTTGTTTCATTTTTCATATCTAATTTTTTTGACTCATTGATTCACAATATACATGTAACATGCATCTAGAGAGACATACTGGTTTGTTCTACAGCCACATACAATGGTGCATATATTCTTACAGCATATGCACAAACAAACATATTTGACAACGGTCATTTTGAAGCACCTTTACTTGATTTTTTATGTGTAATATCTTGGTTTGATGGCTATAGAGTCTTTTGAACAGTCTGCATTTGGACAAATACTGGGAACACATCCTATTTAAAGTTCCGAACTGAAAGTTCCCATTAAGAATATTACGAATGCTTGGAAGAGCTCTTTGATGCCTTTTCAGGCTTTGACGATCCAGGACCGGGCCACGTTCCCGTCAAGCCACGGCGACTCCCAGACAAGGCCTCAGACTTTCCCAACATGGTGGCTCGTTTGTCCGCGTTGGCTTTGGCACTGTCTTTGGCCTTGCCACCATCCTGAGAGCCCAACTTCATCGGCCCGAGCACAGTTTTAGCCACACTGGTGAGCTGCGTCACGAAGCTGGACCTGTCGCCAGGAGATATAGCACGTGATTTGCTTGCGCAAGGTGATCGGGCGGTTGGAGACGGAGAGGCTGGGGACTCTTCGGCTGCTTCCAGGCGACATCTTTCCTCTTGAGGGCCTCTGGTTGACCCCGATGGGGCTTGAACCCGTTCTTCAATGGTTTTGGACTGGGCAGGAACTGCTTCTGAGACTTTCGGTGCAGTAACAGGACTAGGTGCAATCCCCTCAATGTTTAGCGGTCCTTTACCTGACTTGTTTGCTTCTGGAGCCATTGCCTGCGCAGTTATCTCCTTCACTGGGATCTTTCCCATGTCTTTTCCATTTTCCAGCCCTTTAGGACCATCAGTTTGAAGGCTATGGGGTTTGAGTTCCTGTGCTCCAGAGCCCTGGACAACTGGCGTCTGCTCTGGGATCTTGGGGCCAGATACAATTGCATTAAGAGTTTTGCTCTTTCCCACATCCCTGGCTGCTTCCTTCCCTGTCAAGACAACTGATACGTGAGAAGACTCAGACTTGGAGGCCACTTTCTCCTTCTGAGGTGGCTCGCCAGACTGGGTTGATTTAGGATCCAAGGTGGGTGCTACTGGTTGGGTTTTCGATGCAGTCCTTAAAACGACTTCACTTGAGTTGGGCTGCCTGGCTTTCTCCTCGGACTCTTGTCCCGCCAATGAGTCCTGCCTCCCGAGCTGCCTCACCGGACTCATCGTGAGCTGGGTGGGCGTGTGTGTTGGTGTCTGGTCGGGTGGAGAGGGCGGAGCCCCAGGCGTGTTCTCGCCCTCAATCTCCATCAGGCTCTGGAGGGCATGTTCACAGTGGAACGACTCCCTGCGGTATTCGGCATGCACAACTTCCAAACCATGCTTCCTCATGGACACGCAAAGCCCTCCTTTTCTGTCCGAGCCCACGGAAGACGAGGAGGACGGAAATGAAGGCGGAGGGGGTGGGCCGAGCTTCTCTGCTGACTGCACCCGTTGAAGAAGAGGCGAACGGGGTGGTTCTGCGCTCTTGGGCCGGGGGCGTGTGATTGGAGGAGAGGCGTGGAGCTTGGCGGGGAAGGCCTGTGTGGTGTTGGAGCTGCCGACGGTGTGTCCAGCGATGGGTGGCGGGGAAGACGAAGTAGGGGACGGCGTGTGAGCCAGCGGAGACAGAGGAATGTTCCCAGCGGATTTGCAGCGAGCAGAACGGTACTGCCGGTGGAGTTTGGGCGAGAGACCATAAAGAGAGCTTGGCCGCATGTGCTGAGATGTTGCAGGCGAGTTTGGCGTGCTGGGTGCTGGAGAACTGCTCTGAGACGACGTGCCTGAGAGGACAAGGACAGAACAGCTCAGAACCTCAAAGAAACTTGAAAAGGGCACACAATCAGTCAAAACACTCAGCACTGACTGAAGCCAAATATCAAAGGTTAATTTAGTTCATTTCAACGCAAGTCAAAAGGAAAGAAGCACCACGGGTCACAGAAATATAATCTTTAGTAGGTCAAATGTTTGTCAAATACATACTATGAGGCAGCATGTTTTAATTTAAACTCAATTTTGCATGGCATGGCTCCTTTTCTTCTCTAGGAAGGAGTTATATTGTGACCAGACGTTTGTGCATGTTTAATGTTGTTTAAATTCTTTGTCTACCCAAATCATACTCTTGTGTGTTATCTCATGTTGCATGTATATGAACACAGATGCTTCTAGCCACAAACTTGATCTTCAGAGACAATGGATTCTGCATGAGGCACATAATGAGTGATATTCATGTATGTATTGCTATATCCACACTGTTGCAAGGGGCGCTAATACACAGTTAGAATATCTCTTTGGATTTGAGACTTTAGTCTTTGCAAATTTACAGATCTTCTTTATGCACCAAGAGCTTGTAACACTCCAAAGAGAAACGAAAAAATGAAATTGCATCATATGACCCCTTTAAACAGCAACTCTATCGCCACCTTGAGTACTGTTGCTGTCGCTGTAATACACTGTAATGCATGTTAAGTATATAAAACAAGACTACGCACTTGTAATTTGTTGCATCTGAATTTGCATACTTGCATGTAGTAAAATAAAACATAAATACATATAATAAATAACAAAATGTATATACATATAATAAAAACTACTTTTTCAAACTAAAACAAGTATAAACAACACCACAGATTCAGCCAATGAGATTTGTAATATAATCATAAAGCAGTGGGAGGAGCTCTGACCGAGGAAGGCGGAGTCTGGAGGAGAGCGGTACGTCTGCGTGGGCGAGCGAGGTGACAGGTTGTGTGTCGGCGATCCAGGTAGACTGTCTCCAGACGACAGCGAGCGATTCAGAGAGGACAGACTACGACTGGTGTGAAGCAGGTTGGACTGTTTTGTGATCTTACGAAAGAGAGAGCTGCGCTTCTTACTGTAGACAGACAGAGAGAGAGGGGCAAACTGAGTAAAGCAATTACTGTATATATGTGTGGTGTACGGTTCTGTAAATATATTTGCTCTTTCTGACCTCTCTTGTCCATCTTTTGCGACTGACTTCTTGTTGCGTCTGGCCATCTTGGCTTTGTAGCTCAGCTTCCTGGCCGGTCCGATCTTTATGGACGTGTTTTCGAATGGAGTGGTTGTGACTGTCACTTTGCTTTCACTCTGAAAATTGAATGTGCCATGTTAAATGTATTGATTAATATCTCTGTAACGTAACTATCAGGTGTGTTCGTGATGCCCATACCTTCAAAATGAGCTCCACCACCTCTGTGTGCACCAATCCGTGCACAGACTCCCCGTTCACATGGGTGATGAGGTCACCAGCACAAACCCCCGCCTCTTGGGCCGGCCCACCAGACTCTACATGCTGTGATTGGACGAAAGCAATGTCAATCATCACATGTAACGCATTCTTTAGCTATAAATGAAAAGAGCGTTCTGGAATGTTTCCATACCCAGACCATGTGATGCACGCTGTAGACGTTACTGTCGCCCATGTAGACTCTGATGGCACGCAAGGTGAAGCCGTACTTCTTTCCAGAGCGATGGATAGTGATTGGTGAGCGCAGGACATTGACTGTAGGTGAGTAGTCACGACTCGGAGACGAGTCACGAGACGAGGGATTGGAGGAGATGGAGCGAGGAGACATGGGACTGGCTAGAGGTGACATACCATGCTGCTCAACTATGAAACCAACCATCATAATATTACAAAAGCTCATGTCAACGCAAATGTATATTGAAATGCTTGATAATGCTTGACTAAAAATAATTGTTCAATTAATGTACAAAGGTGTAAAGTTGCGAGTACTTTTTTTTGTGATTTTGTAGGTTGTTGACATTTCTTCAAATGTCTAAAAAACACTTCATTAAACAAAAGCAGGGAGAAATTGTTTCATGCTAATTGTTTTACACAAAATTTGTGCATGGAACAGTTTACATAAGAATGGTTTTACGAACGATTTACACATAAATCTGCATGTTTCATAAATGAGACCCACAAAAAGGCTCATTATTAATGTTTTTTTTATTATACATTAAACAAAACGTAAATTACGTCTTACGTCTATTTTATAGAATGTGTACACAAATAATACAAAAACCAAAAAAGAAAACTTGTATTTTTTACAATCAAAATATTTTATTGATATTTTATTGGTTGTTACCATTTATAGTGTTTGTACACTCTAGTGTATGAAAAGTAGTGTTGCGATTTGCGATTACATTTTATTTTGTATTTTTATTAATTATTAATCATTATTAATGTATTTTTATTATTATACATAAAAACATGCCATACAAAATACAAAAATCAAAAAGAAAATATTACAATTATTTTCATGTTGAAGCGCTATGATTTTATTGGTTGTTGTTAATTATAATATTAATAATAATAATGAAATGGTGTCTGAGGTCTCACTTGCAGGTATGATGACAGACAGGGCCGTGGCGGAGGCCGACTTTATGACTTTGGTTCCTGAGCGAGTTGCGTTATGTTTCTCACTGTCAGTCGGAATCTGATGATGTCGAGCTCTTCGTAAGACGAGGTCACTTCCTACGCGAGGCCCAAACGAGTCTGGTATGTGTAGAGGAGCCGCGGCAGCGGAGGCATCGGCAGGCCGCAGGAGTTTATCTGAGAGACAGGAAGATACAAAACTAATTCATATGAATGTGAGAGAAAACTGGGCGGTATTTTGAGTGATTGACACCCAGGAGCACAACAGTAGAACATATGAAATTATGTTCTTTATTTTTAATTATAAGACTAAATCACCTCCAGGATGTCCCACTGACGCCGTAGAGCTGGACTCCACCAGTCCCGAGCCGACGGGTATGCTGGCGCCCTCTAGTGATGAACCCCTGGTTTTGATGGGTGTTTGGCGCGTGTGCACATCACCGTCTCCCTCTAGTGGAAAAGCGAAGCGGTGCGTTTCCATCAGCGCTGAGAAACGCCGGCGCGCGCCGGGAGGACTGGACTCTGATTCAATAAAGGACAATTCTGAACACGACAAACGCTTCCTACAGAGACAGCAGGACAAATAGAGGGGTTTACTGAAGATTATGTGTCTCTCTAATCAAAATTAGATTTTTATATTTTCTCAAGACATTGTGAGGTGCTAGAAAGGGTGGTTGCTAGGGTGTTTTTGGTGTATGCTATGCAGTTGTTAGACAGTCCTGGGTGATTTTAAACATTTCTAGGTGGTTTCTAAGGTGTTCTGAACGGTTGCTATGGCATTGCTAGGTGGTTACTAGGGTGTTTTTAGTATATGCAGTTGGTAGGCAGTTCTGAGTGGTTATAAATGTGCGACTTCGTGGTTGCTAGGTGTTTTTCAAGGTGTTCTGAAAGGGTTGCTAGGGAGTGGTTTTAAATGTGATACTATGTGGTTTTCTAAGGTTTTCTGAGTGGTTGCTAGGCCGCTTTTAGTGCATGTAGTGCAGTTAGGCAGGACTGGGTGGTTTTAAATGTGCTACTTTGTTGTTGTTAGGTGGTTTCTAGGCTACTCTGGGAGATTGTTATGTTGTTGCCCTCTGTCTTTCTTACATCTCAGGGGATCCGGTTCTCCAGGTCTTGTCTCGGAGGGTCAGGCTGCCTAGACTTTCTCTCTTACTGCGATCTTCTCTGTGAGCTTTGGGCTCTCGGCGGGTCACCACAGGCTTGTGCTCCAGCTGGGACAGATGCTCCATGCTGCTGTACACCTGTGATTCAGATGCACTAGATGAATCGTTGAATGGGCTTCATTACCCATAATCCTTGCGATTGTGTAAACGGCAGAATCGTTCTCATGAGACAGAGAGGTCTAACCTTGCTGAAGCGTGGCGAGCAAGAGGAGAAGCGGTGAATCTCCACTGGCTCATCGTCATTGGTATCGTCCTCATCGTACGAGTGAACGTGATGATACCGCTCTGATCGCGCTGAAAAAGACAGATGAGTTACTCACTAACGCACACTAACAGACGACAGCACAAACACACACTATCTGTCTGTCACTCACTGTCGAAGTAGCTGGTGTCCTCCTCCGACTCCAGATGAGGGATGAACTCAGCTTTCTGTCGGAGCAAACTGCTCCAGTCCAGATCACAGAAGAACGGATGTTGCTTCACCTCGAACGCTCCACCTGCGCACAAAGACATGACTTCAATCAGCGCGTGCAGAACGTATGGCTCTACTAAAATAATAAACCATGTGAGGTGACGACAGCAATATGATAAAAGACAATCAATGTTTAGTAAATTATCAAATGAACTACTAATAATTGTAATCATTAAAAACAGATATTTAAATTTTTCTTAAGAATATGCTAGATGCTAGATGGTTTCTAAGATGTTCTGAGTGGTTGCTAGGGTGTTTTTTGCATGCTATGCGGTTGTTGGGGGCTCTGAGTGGTTTCATACCTGCTATGGGTTGCTTAGTGGTTTCTAAGGTGTTTTGAGTGGTTGCTATGCTGTTGCTAGGGTGTTTTAATGCATGCTGTGCAGTAAGTGCTTCTGAATGGTTTCAACTACTTACTACTATGTGGTTGCTAGGTGGTTTCTAAGGTCTTCTAAGTGGTTACTAGGCTGTTGCTAGGTTGTTTTTAATGCAGGTGGTTCTGAGTGGTATTAAAGTTGCTACTATGTGGTTTCGTAAGAAGTTCTGAGTGGTTGCTAGGGTGATACTGCAAGGTTGCTATGTTGTTACTTAGGTATTCTGTGTGGTCAGACCTTGAGTCCCTCCTTATGTGTAAGTCTATGGGACATTTTCACCTGTTATTTGAATTTTGAGCGTTTTAACTATTTTTCAGCCAAGAAATTTGCTTTTTAAGTTTTTTTATTTTTTTTAGATATGCTACAAATGCTTCAAACATGGTTCATACAAGCAGATTTAGAGACCTTATAGTACAGCTCTTATCTAAGTCAACAGCTCTAACATTTAGATTACATCGGCGTCTTTAGTGACAGCTGGTCACATGACTGCAGGTGTGTGACATCACCTGTGCCCAGTCTGAGCAGCGGGTTTGTCTGCAGGAGAGATGCGATCAGGTGCTGCGCATCAGCGGGGAGGCCGTCGTCATCATCGGGCCACACGATGTCATCTACACACATGCATATTTGACATTGTGTACATCTTCTTTATTTGGATTCATGGGAAAGTTTCACTGTGAACTATCTGGTGTTTTTATTGTAGGTGTGTCTTTACCTGTGATCACCTGACCAAACAACTCCTCCGGTGTGTCGCCGAAGAACGGCACGCAGCCCACCAGAAACTCGTAGAGGATGATGCCCATGGCCCACCAGTCCACTGGCTTGCCGTAACCCTGCCGCAGGATCACCTCCGGGGCGATGTACTCTGGGGTGCCGCAAACCTGGGGTCAAAGGTCAAAGAACGACAGTCAAGCCTCTTAACATGACACCGTCAGTGACACTTTATCATCACCTTGAATTATAAATTCTGCTACATTACATTTGTTATGTTAAAATAAATTAAATTAATCAAGTCATTTTAATTTAGAGACAATTGCAAAAGTTACTACAATAAAGCCAAGTTACTACAATATCAGTGCATTGCTATGCGGTTGCTAAGGTGTTTGGGCTAGTTTTCAGGGCGTTGCTATGCGGTTGCTGAGGCGTTTGTAATAGTTTTCAGCGTGTTGCTATGTGGTTGCTGAGGCGGTTGGAATAGTTTTCAGCGTGTTGCTATGTGGTTGCTGAGGCGTTTGTAATAGTTTTCAGCGTGTTGCTATGCGGTTGCTGAGGCGGTCGGAATAGTTTTCAGCGTGTTGCTATGCGATTGCTGAGGCGGTCAGAATAGTTTTCAGCGTGTTGCTATGCGGTTGCTGAGGCGGTCGGAATAGTTTTCAGCATGTTGCTATGCGGTTGCTGAGGTGGTCGGAATAGTTTTCAGCATGTTGCTATGCGGTTGCTGAGGTGGTCGGAATAGTTTTCAGCATGTTGCTATGCGGTTGCTGAGGTGGTCGGAATAGTTTTCAGCGTGTTGCTATGCGGTTGCTGAGGCATTTGTAATAGTTTTCAGCATGTTGCTATGCAGTTGCTAAGGTGTTGCTTCATCAACACTTCATCAGTGACACTTTATCATAAACTTGAATGTGTTAATTACGTTTGTTATGATAAAAAATAACTAAATTAAATAGGCACACAATGAAATTAAAACTGTAGTTTTGTGGCTTTTAGACCATGACTATGTGCAGTATAGAATATTGTAAGTATTCTCTGGTACCTGTTTATCCAGGAACTCCCTGGTGTCCTTCTCGATGTGTCCCTCGTACAGGTTTGTGGTGAGACTCATGAGACCCATTTTAGACAAACCGAAATCAGTGAGTTTAATGTGACCCATTGACGTGATCAGCAGACTGATGGAGAGAGAGAGATACAGACAGACAGAGAATATGTGAGACAGTCTCTACAGTAACACACACTCAAGCTGAGTGGCACTTCTGACATGTGTTTAATTATATAACACAATCTGTCCAAATTAAACGATATCATTAATCTCATACAGGAAGTGCTCTATGTCATTGCACAACAGATGGAAAATGAATCTCAGCAATCATTTAATTGAATGCACATGGTCATTTAGTAAATGACATGCTCCCTGCCATCATCATTAAATATAATTCAGAAATATTTTAAATGTTATTGGCGTATTACTTGTCCGGTTTGAGATCTCGGTGCACGATTCCATAGTTGTGGATGTATTCGAGTGCCAGCACGGTTTCAGCAAAATACATGCGCGCCATTTCCACAGGCAACGCTCCAATATTCTTCAGCAGTGTCGCGCAGTCGCCTCCTGAAACAATATTAACATCTCATTAACATCTCAGTTGTTTCTCATATGACTACAATACAGAAGTATCCTGCTTCTCAGATGTTTTAAAAAAGACTCCAGTAATCTCACACGTCTCCTCAAGTGTTTCCGAAGAGATCTCAAACTGTGCTCAGATTTGCTCGAGATCCCCAACACGAACTCAAACTTTTCTCATCAAATGATCTGAGCTGCTTTCCACATTCATTTTACAGCCCTAGACCTGGGCTGGGCAACTTCAGTCCTGGAGGGCCACTGTCCTGCAGGGTTTAGCTCCAACCATAATAAAAGTCGCCCAGCCCTACCCTAGACTCTTACTGAATGACAACTATACACCCGTCTGGGTCAGTTTTATTTCTCAGGCAGTTTAAGAGAAACATCTGAGAGTTGATACTTAAAGAAAACACACCTGAGACCTCAATAAAGTCAATAAAGCTTTAAAAGAGAAATTAAAGTGTGTGCGTGTCTCACCCTCCACGTACTCCATGACCATACACAGGTGTCGTCTAGTCTCAAAGGAGCAGAACATGCTGACCACGAAGGGGTTCTCGGCGAAGGTCAGGATGTCTCGCTCCACAAATGCCTGCTGGATCTGGTTCCTCAGAATCAGGTTCTGTTTGTTGATTTTCTTCATAGCGAAGCGCTGCCGCGTCTCCAGATGGCGGACCAGATACACCGCGCTAAAAACACAGCAACTTCTGTCAGTGTCTCAACTTCTCTGTGTGCGTTTGGTTATTTAGTAGATGCTTTTGTATCCACAGTGACGGTAAAGACATTTATAATGTTACAATAGCTTTCAGTTACAAATAAATGTTGCTCTATTAAACTTTCTATCCTCATCTAGATATTGAATGAAACGTGTGTGTGTGTGTGTGTG